TACTGCTAGGACGTAGATCGATGTTTCGATTTCGAACGATCGAAGAAAATAGTTTTCGATACCAGTAAACGTCGTGTCGTTTAAAATCCACTCTACTTTACTGCGACGATGTTCTGCTTTTAATGCTACTGGAAAGAACCACGAATCAGTTTCTCTTCTTCCACTTTGTCCCCCGTTTGAATGCGCTTCGTGCTTCGATCGAAAAAACCACCTGAACTGAATTGCTTAGCTTTGGAATACCTGATGAAAATTATATTTTCGCGTGTACGCTGTGTAGCAGGTACGCCGATGCTTGTGTGATCGAAAACGAAAACGTAAGATCGAACATGATCATGATCGGCGCGCAATGATCGGTGTCCAAACACGTTGATCGTTACAAAAAAAATATGAATACTTGTGGAACGTCGAACGGCTGTTCGTTCGCTTGATATTCTCCGGCGGGTTGACTCTACCGGAGATAATAACGATCTCCCGCCGATGTTCAGTGACTCGTTTCGCTGCGCTCGATAACGAACATAGTCCCCCGTACGTATTCCTTCGCTATTCCCTGCTGGTCGTCCGGGAAGAAAATTCATTCGACATAAATACTTGTGTATACGTGCGTATATACATATGAACGTGTGTGTATGTATATAATATATATCGATTACATATGCATACATGTGTGTGCGTGTGTTTGTGTGTGTTTGTATGTGTGTACATATGTATGTATATAATGACTTATAAAACACGACAGTACCTTGCACTCGTCACTCGGTTTGAGCGCGAGCGACCTGGTGGCTGGTGTTCCATCGTGCCTCGTGTGTGGCGACAGAGAGAGAGACTCACGCGTGTGAACTCACCAGGAGTATGAGTACCGCCGCCGACGCCGACGAACGAGTACTACTCCAAAGCTGCTCTGAAAAGATTTCATTCCATTCCGAATACACGAGTGCCCGTGTTTTCTTTTGCTTTTCGTTGTGGCAACAAATAGTTACACGCGGTACCGAGATCTATTCCGAGTTTGTACGCGAATAAAATCCTCCCGACTCGATATTCGGAGGAAAAATTTTTCAGATAAAAATTGCATAGTCGATAAAACTAAACGTAACTGTACATAGGCACTTAAAATTAATTCAGAAACGTTTACAATGGTTCGCTGATAGCAATTCACGGTACGTGCTGCTGCTGTTGCTGCTTGCGTATACGTATGAATAGCTATGCCTAGATCAGAAAAATATTTGTCGACGCGAACGAGTGTTTCGCAAACGACGATTAATCATCATCATCGTCGTCGTCATCATCATCATCATCATTATCATCATCATCATCATCATCATCATCATCATCATCATCATCATCATCACCACCACCACCACCACCACCACCATCGTCATCGTCATCACCATCACCATCACCATCATCATCGTCATCACGCGTTCGTTCGAACTACGCAATTATTTTCTGAAACGTTTTTCTACTTTCCTACTTCCGAAGATTTTCGCCGCGAATCGAATGAAGAATAATCGACAAATCGTCCAAGAATCCGCATATTCGACACACAACAACGACAACAACGTATAGAGTCCCTGAGAAACGTGTCTGGAAACAATTTGCTGATACTTGTTGTTGGATGTTGCGAGTTATTCTGTACGAATGAAATGAACATAAATCAAGTGCCAAACTCCCGGGAGCCAAACGGAATGAGAGGCTGTACGGTATGATTGCTGCTTACGAAGAAAGAAGTTATGCTATATAGAAAATATTTATTTTTCGTTCGTTTGATTGAGCCACGCCGACATCAGCGCCAATATGTATAGATTTTTCGCTTTTCTTCCTCTTGCTTCTCTTCTTTTTCTTCTTCTTCTTCCTCCTCCTCCTCTTCTTTATTCCTCGCTTCGCTACTCCATCGTGCTTGATTCGTAGTAAACCGAGCATGCAGTCGACACGCATCTTCCGTCGATTTTTGTACACGTTCCCTCCCTCTCATCCCTGCGCGCGCGTACACGCGCCCCCCCCCCCTTCACACACACACACACTCATTTATATATAATCTCTCTCTCTATCTATTTAAATATATGTACGATCACACGGTCGTATAGACTACGAGTCTCGCGCGACACGTGTACGAATTGCATGCGAGACCTGCCCACAGTAGTCTATCGTATTCATGACCCTGTGTACGTTGGGTAGAATCTTGTTTATCCGCATCAACGGCACGGTGTATCTGGATTGTTCACTTTCTGTTGATCGAGCAGCGTTCTCAAATCGAATTGAAATTAAGATAATTATGTCACTTGTTCCCATTGAATAAAAACGTACTAATAAAGACGGCACTGTGTGTGAATACTCCTGATTTTCTAATCCGAGATTCGAGCTCATAGATTGAAACGATTTATACTGGGGTGCTATTGGAAGTGCGGTGGTACACATGATTTTTCGTCGTTTCCGGTCCTATCGTGTATCGTGTGACTGCTATTGTTAACTGATACATGCATAAACCACAGGTTCGATCAACAATAAATGGCTATAGGAAAATAGTCGGAAATTTGTAAGATCGCGGCGGGTAATCAAGATCCTACTACGTATTCGTAAGATTCCATCTATCTACAGTATGATCGATTTAAATGTATATATTTAACTATCGATCTTCGATCATTGATCATCGACGACGACGACGACGATGACGACGACGACGACGACGAATTGTACAGGGATTTATGAAAATTGTTTGGTTGAAAAATTATTATACTTACACGATCGTTACATGCTATCTACACTCTGTGTGTGTGTGTGTGTGTGTCTGTGTGTGTGTGTGAGCGCGAAATGTTACGCGTTAGTCGCTCTATTTACACGTTAAAACAGTACTGTTCGTTCGCGACTGTTACGGAAGCTTACGCGATTCATTTTTATAGACAAAAACACTAACTACGTATACGTACTAACGGTAATAAAAATGCTTAATTACAATTAACAAGTCTTTCTTTAAAATCGTCGTTCGAATCGATCTTATTCACGTTTTCAATTCATAATGCTACTGCCGTGTACTCGATTCCACGCTCTTCGACCAAACAATTTTCCCTTACCGCCACTGTGTCTACTAAACATCTCTCGAAGTAATTAAGTATATATATTTAAATCGAATATATTGTACGTTTGTGTACTACGAAAATACAAAAGTATGTACAATTCATGAATAAATAAGTCGCCGCTCGGAGTTTGGGTCACACATGTACGCACGCACGCACGCACGCGCGCGCGCGCACACACACACACACACCGGTCGCGTTATTGCGGGTCGCACAGTCTCGCGGAACGCTAATTGTTTTCGTTTCTTTTCTCGATTTTGTTCGGTTCGGTACGGTACGAAATCTCAAACCCTGAATAAAAAAACATCTCGTTCCATTCAATCGATGATACCCATAAATTTTACGCTGGCTCTCTGTCTGCCTGCCTGTCTGTCTGTCGTCTATATCTGGCTCAATAACGTTTTTGAATCGACACGAGCGAGCGTTTATTATGTTCGGCAAGAACGTCTTTCTTTAAAATGACTACCAACTCGCAAATCGAATATGTGTTGATTAAAGTAAATTAAATTAAAATCTTGTATTTCTTCGAATATTATTTATTATGGTCTTTCGTGTATCTCTTGATCAATCATCCGACATCTGTACGATCACACGAGATACTAATTCGATTTTACAACAAAGAATAATATCTTAAAACAGTTTTTTAACACCATTACGTGATCTAACGGTACTTAAGTATCATCGACTGAATACAACAATAACTAACGTTCTAACGTTCAGCGTATCATTTCGTTCAACGTGATTCGCGCGCGCGACCCAATTCTGTCTCTCGAAGCAACGAAATTCTCCCTCCTCACACACCACTCCACGGAGTAAGAAAAAATCAGTTTAAAGAGAAAAATCGCTCTTTACTTTGGTCTAAGAATCCCTGCTGCGATCCTCTTCTCCCTCCTCCTCTTCCTCCTTCTTCATTTCGATGCCTTCGTCTTGTTTCGTCTCCGTCTTTCCCACCACCACCACCAATTCCTCCTCCTCCTCCTGCTCCTCCTCCTGTCGTTCGTCACGAATCATTTCCTTCGTTTCGATCGCATCTTTCACTTCCTCTTCCTTCGGTCTCACCATCACGTCCATGCATCCTTCTTCTTCCTCTTCTCCTTCTTCTTCTTCTGCGGCTGCTGCTGCTGCTGCTGCTGCTACTGCTGCTTCCATTACAGCTTCCTTGTTCTCCTCGACGTTCACACTCAAACATGGTTCTTGTTCTCTAGATTCATCCCCCCCGATCGATTCTTCCCCGGATGGGCTCACGTTGGCCCATCTAGATTTTCGTCCCCTGTTTCGATTCTCTCTATCCATATTCTGCTGCTGGTTGTTATTCGGATGCTTGTTTGAACCACCAACAACAACAACAACACCACCACCACCAACAACAACACCACCGCCGCCGCCGCCGCCGCCGCCACCTTTCTTATCTCTTTGCGGATGATTCTCCGCAGAATCCGAAGACCACGAACCAGGCGGAAGTTCTTGATTTCTCCAGGGTACGGCAGACTCGGGAGGAATAATGGATGGCGGCGGTGGTGGGCCCATAGGTCCGAAAGGTGCTCTCGCGTGAGGGCGAATATCGTCGAAGGGAGGTCTGAAAAAGGCGTCCGCCGGGTCTCGAGGATCGAAAGGTGGACCGCCGCCACCGCCGCCGCCGCCGCCGCGAGGACCGAAAGGCCTCATTCCGGGACGAAGAGGACGAGGTCCCAAACCTCGAGGATGGAACATTAACGGACCTAAAAAATGAACGATCGAAAGGTTTGTTTGTAACAAATTGGATCCGTTGTTCGTGCGATGTGCGCGGGCACAACGCGAATCGTCGAACGGTGGTGAGTTCCGTACACAAGATTTTATACACAGACACGCGGATCTTTATCGTGTAATAGAATATGTGCGCGCTCGCGTGCAAATAGTTCTACTCCACCGACCGTACTGTACTGTGTCAGTTGATGAAACTACGATATTCTTACCCGGTCCACGAGCTCCTAAGGGCGTTGGTCGCGATCCAAATCCGTCGGGATGTCCAGGTCTGGGTCCCCTGGGTCCCATTATCGGCGGCGGTATCCCAAAAATGGGATCGATCCCAAAGAATTCGCGTCTCCTAGGCTCGAAGTCGCTTCGGTCGAGATGTCCCCTAGGATCGAAACCGTCTTGAACCACTACTCGTGGATCGAAACCATCCCGTCCCCTAATCTCGTAATCGAAACGGTCCCGATCGTCGACGAGCTGCCTTCTCCCTCGCCCTTCGGATCTATCGAATTCCTCCCTTTAACGCGTATGCGATTAATTCGTGTAACGATTTGTGCGCGACTCGGATCTGTCGTTCTGTCGTTTACCTTTGTTCTCTGAGCGGCCCGAGCCTACCGAAATCTTCCACTACTCTTTGCTGTCCGCTATGTATCCTGCTGTCGAATAAGTCATCTTGATACATCCCTCCTTGCAATCTCGGAGCATCCATAAATTCTTCGTGTATTTGCGATCCTCTATGACCTCTTCCGAAAGTCTGTCTGCCATCTCTCTGCTGCTGCTGTTGCTGCTGCTGTTGCTGTTGCTGCTGCTGCTGGAAATCTCTTGGATCTTGTTGATTACGGAAATCTGGAGGCCGAGCAGAAAAGTCGCCGCCGCCGCCGCCACCGCCGCCTCTCTCCTGAGGCAAGCCGAACTTCGGTAGATCTATCAAAGAAGAAAGAGGTTCCGCTCGAGTCGCTCGGCCATCTTCTTGCGGGAAAGTTCTGTCGGGTCTGTCGCGTTCCTGCCGATTACGAGTGGCGATTATTCTATCGACGCGATCTTCGAGAGGCAGTGTGCCGTCGGCCAATTGACGTAGGCGATCAGCTAGACTCGGTTTACAATCCTTTTTTGGGGTTGTCGCTTCACTTTCCTGGACACGTAACCGTTATACCGGCATAAGATTTTTGTAATAATCACGCGGATAGACAGTGGTGGTGTCAGTAATTTAAAATAAAAAGAATCCTGATCACCTGAATTGAGTTTTGAGTTTGTGGATTTCCTTCTCGATTCTCTCTGTTCTCCCGTTCCCTTCCCCTATCGTCCCTATCCCTGTCTCTGAGATCCCTTCTACGATCGCGTCCGCGATCCCTGCCTCTACCTCTGTCCCGTCCACGATCCATTTTCGAATCGTTACCCACCGCTTCCCTGTCTCTGTGCTGCTGCTGCTGCTGCTGCTGCTGTAAATGTGTCTCTCTGTCTCTTCTTTCTCTGTTATCACCACGATGATCTCTGCTGTCTCTTTCCTTGTAATCCCGATGCTGCTGTCGTTACATTCAGTGAAATCGAGTTAATTTAAATCAAAGATTCTAGACGACGAACGACAATTACCTCCTGCTGATCGGAGTCCGTTCGCTCTTCGTTTTGTTGTTGAGAAATCGCTTGGTGGTCGGTCAAATTATTTTTATTCTTAGCTCCGTTCGAACTTTGCGGCATCGCGTCCTCCATTTCCACGTCCATATCGTCGGCGGCAGAATGTTGCTGGTGAGGTAGTTGCATTTGAAGAGGCGCTGAAGGTCCCACGCCATACGGTTGACGTAACATTGGCAAATTCGGCATTCCCGTTTCCGTCGTTGGCGGTGGAACGCCTATCGGCGGTACGTTGTGTGGCATACCTAAATTTTAATTTCTGTTCACAATGCCTGTCTCTCTCTTTTTCTCTCTCTCGCGCACGCGCGCGCGCGCGCGCGCGCGCGCGATCAGCAGTGACTGACAGCTATCTAGTCTCGTTCCGTACCGGTAGAATTGGGTTTATCGGAAGGTGCAGCGGGAGCTGGCAGAGGAATCTGTGTTAACAAACCAACGCCGACACCCGCGCCAAACGGAGAATTCACCGAAGGCGTTAGCATCGTTTGCATCATTCCCGGTGGTCCTAACAAGCTTTGCATATTGGGAGGTGGTACGCCTATCGGGACGTTCGGCATCAAACTGTGCGCCATCGGCAGTCCCATTGGTCCGATCATACCTGCTCGTAAACAAACCACCAGTGTGAATCACGACGTGAATAAGAGTGTTACTCCCTGTTTCTACGGGACGGAGGACGGACTTACGAGGCACTCCTGGCATCGTGAAGGCAGACGGCATCATCTGTAACTGTGCATTTGGTGGTGGTAAGAGGGCAGCTGACGTGGGAGGTCTGATTGGTGGTGGTTGACTCGTATCGATTACTTGTTGTTGTTGTTGGCCTTGTTGCTGAGACTGCTGCTGCTGCTGCTGCTGTTGTTGAGACTGTTGCTGCTGCTGCTGACTGCTGGTCGACGATTGCATCACGTTCACTATACCATCCGCCAAGCTGGGAATACCAGCAGCAGCAGCAGCAGCAGCAGCAGCCGCCGCGGCTAAGGCTTGCTGTTGTAACTGCAACTGTTGCTGAAGCATGTCTGCGTTCGTTCCGGAATGCTTTAATTTACCTACGAATTTTTCGTCAAGATTGTTCATCGTTAGCTGTACGACGCGATCCGCTTCTAGATCTGCTTCGTACGCGTGTATTTACGCTCGCGCGATTACCTTTCAAGTTCGGTGGCAAAGTGTCCTCGTCGATCATGCCCCCTTCCTCCAATAATTCCAAGTCTTGATCGGTAACGTTAATTAATTTATTCCATGGAATATAACTAACACCCAATTCGACTTCCCAATAATCTTTCCATTCTTTCCCTTTTACTCCTCTTCCTGGTGCCCAAGCTAACTACAATCAGCGGATCAATCTTTCTGTCATTCTCACGTAGACTTTTGTGTTCTTCTCTTTGTTTGTTTTTTCCCGGGTTTCGTCTCCGAGACACCAGTGAAGGTGTAAAAGTAGAAGTGTCCGTGTGCGTGTGTATGTGGGCGCGCGCGCGCGTGTCGATAAAACGTTGAATAATGAAACGTTAACTTACCGTGATAGCTTTTCCTTGCATTTTATGATTCTTCAGCTTAGTGAGAGCTCTGTACGCGTCTTGCCGTCTGTTCATGCATATAAAGGCGCAGCCCCTAGGTGAAATTAAATCTATACTGACAATGTCACCAAATTCTCCAAAAGTGTCCGACAATTCTTCTTGATGTACTAATTTCGATAGATGTCCTACCCAAAGAGTAGTACTGCAAACTACAAAAACGTAAACCGATGATCACGAAATCGTATCGTAAGGGAAATGAAATTCATATACTGTTCGTAATCGCGATTGTGTCATTAGTTCCAATTACCGCTCAATTTGTCCCTGACGATCGGTGGTAGTCCTCGTTTACGTCTTTCCCTTTCTTTTTCTCGCTCTTCCTCAGTCATTTTCTCTCGACTGTCGTCGCGTTTTCTATCACGACCCCTCGTGTCCCTCGAGCGAGACCTACACACTCGCGCAAACGCGACAATTGAAACGCATACAATTTTATACGTATGTAAAATGTATCGAATAAAAATAATCCTGACCTTCTTCTCCTGGATCTGCTTCTCGATCGAGAACGCTTGTCCCTGTCCCGATCTCGATCCCTCTCCCTGTCTCTGTCCCTGTCCCTGTGTCGCGGCGATCTAGACCGACTGTGATGTCTACCGTATCGGTCGGGCGATCTACTCTGCGACCTTGTGTTTTCACAATTTACAATTTCTACGCTGCTGCTATCTCGTCTCGCACCATTCCTATTTTTTACGGCGGGGAAAACGAAATAACACTACGTGAGCTTTAATCAACACCCACCCGCCCACGTTGCATTCGATTGAAATGAAAAGAAATGTCCTCACCCGGAATAATCTTGCGCGTCTTGGCGTTCGTCGTGGAGCGGCGGACTCTTCTGATTTTGATGCACCTGTTGTTGCTGCTGCTGTTGCTGCTGATTGATCTGTCTCAAGTTCGATAAAGGTTGAGAGACGTACGGTAGAGCCGGTGGATACCCAGGAGGCGGCTGACTCATGTCTTGCATAACTCCGCCACTACCGACACTTGTCGCGTATGCGGTTTGCTGATTCGGTTTTAAAATGTCCGAAGGCTTCAATTCGCATTCAGATGCAAACGGTAGATTCTGAAATGAACTGAAATTATTCGGACTTCTTTCACAATGTAACGTTCACTCGACGATACAAAATATGAACGTACAGGAACAGTTTGAGCTAGGTGCTTATCGAATTCTTCTTCCTGTTGTTTCATTTGTTGAAGTTTACGCATCTTTTCTTCTGTTTCGTGTTGCGACGAACTTCCTTGCATCGTTTGTTGCAACGTTTGAAGCTGCCTCAATACCTGTCGATTCAGAAGCAGCCTATTATTATTATTATTGTTGTTAGCAATAAGAGTAATAGTAATTTGTGATAAGACTGAAAATGTATCGAATCTACTCGACCGATTAATATGAATGATTTCGAACCTCTGGGTTTGTTAATAAAAGTCCAAGGCTCTCCAAACTGTTTCCCGCGGAACTAGCTGCGTTATGTTGGCCGATCCCGGACGTTCCGGTCACTGCTGGTGAACTGGCGACGACAACATCGTCATCCTCTTCTTCGCCGTAATCGAAATCTAACAGCTTCTTATCAAACTTTACACAACTCTTCTGTTCATTCGTAGACTCTTGTTTCTTTAACAATAACTGTTGTAAGTGTTGTAACTGATCGAGGAAAGAGGCATCCATCTGGCTCGAATTCGATTGCCCCTGTAACGGAAGAAAAGAAGAATGTCGTGATCAACGCGTCCTCTCTTTCGGTCGCGGACAGTGCGAAGGGTGATACACGTCTAGATGAAAATAACCCGACAGCAACCCGCTTTAAGCGTCTACGACAACTTACTAAGAGTTTATTAGCATTCACTATGTTTGCCGTCTCCATTTTCGTCTGTGCGAGCCAAGCAGGGTCGATCGGCTTTGCGGAAGAAAACAATTTTTGATCTTTCACTGCATTCTTTCCGGTCAATGGGGGAGTTTTTACAGCCGTATTGGCCGCTGCCGACGCCGTATTATTCGTTGCAGAAACCAAAAGTGTACCTAAAAATAATGAGATAAACTTATTAGCTATTTAATTGTTCTTGGAGGTCGAACCTGCTGCTGCTGCTGATGCTGCTGTGAACCCTCTCTCGATTAATCTCATCTGATCACGACTGTCTTTTACCATTGGTATTGACCGTGGCTTGTTCCTTGTGTATCGGATGATTTGGATCGGCAAGATCGAACAAAGGTTGTATAACCTCCGAGGGAAAGACTGCATTTTTTTGCCACAGGTTTAAAACTCTTATTACTTTGCTCTTATCTTCTTGCGGACATTTTAAAAGGTTCAAGAAAGTGGTTTGCATGTTCTTGGCAAAGCGCGGAGCAAAGACATCTTTCTCTACGCCAAACTGATGTCTGGACTGGCGCACGATCGAGTCTATAACGTACAATCCAGGCACTTTGTACTCTGGTTTACACTGTAACATAAAATGCATTTGTTCTCTGTCTATTACGCTTGTACGTGCACTCGACACGATTACGATTCTTAATATATTCCTCTGACTGACTTTTGATCGACTGACTGAACTTACTTTCTGAATGAACTTTTCAACGCTTTGCACGACATGCTTATAGAATTTGATGGCCTTGATTGCACCTCTGGTTAGAGAATTCATTTTCGCTTTGGAAATGGGCGGCTTGACATCGTACAGAGCTGAAAGCTGTAAAGAGTGAAGCGTTGCACATAATATTAGTCGGTCTATCGAGTTAGTGGTGCATCGTGCTCGATATTCATGAATCTGAGAGTGATCGAAACGAACGACAGTAGTAAGGATTGATTGGTTAACTCAGAAATTCCAACAGGTACGTGGGTTCAATAAATCTTTCTCCTAACGTGTCTCCTCGTCTCTCGCTCCGTAGATTAAACTGAGTAACCGATACCGCGGACGGACTGACACGAATACTTGTTTTTCACGTAAATTTTAATAAATGTTCAATGACTATTACGGCATAAAGTGCAGCAGTACAAAACATTGTAAATCACAAGAAAAATTCTATTTGACTTCTCTTTCTCCTTCTTATAGTAGTGACGGTGGTGGAGACGGTCTCTCCCCTTCACTCCTCCGCTCAATCTCACACACACTCTCTCTCTCTCTCTCTCTCTCTCTCTCTCTCTGTTTCTTTCTCTCTATCAACCTCCCTGCCTCCCTCCCACGCCACTGTCTCTGTCTTGCACACAGAGATGAGACTAGAAATCAAAGCATCTTACGACGAGTACAGGAAAGTCATTCGAATTCTCGTGCGCGATAAACAACAAAGAGAGACGGGGCTGGTACGGTCTGCGTGTGCGATCGTGTCGCGTCCGAATTGCGAAGGGCGAACCGAGCGAAAGGAACAAGGGGGAAGAGAAACGAGAGAAAAAAAGAGGGAGAGTCGGCGGGCTAGATAGTGGATCGTCACGAAGGGTAAGTTGGCTCACCTCCGCATTAAACGCCTTAACCGCCTCCATTCCAACGAAGGTGCGTGGCACCAAAGATCTGCTATGTTTCACAGCAATCCGTGATTCTCGAGATGTTTAATGTTTTCGCGATAAATCGCATGTCTCCGCTCAGGGCGCACTGTCTAGCTGGGCCATGCCACTCAAGATGGCGGCGCTATGTCCCGAAAGGCATCGCGGGGCGGTGATGCGTGACGTCACATGCCGCTCATCTGTACAGTATGCGCCGCCGTACACTCGGTACAATACTGCTCTGCTATACAGCCGTGTATATGCACTATGCGCATACTGTGTGCGTTCGTTTCAATATATATGCAACAGTTTCAATACAATCGTTACGATCGGTACACGTACGTATGTATACACGTATTACATGCATATACAATCGGTAACAAGTTTTCTTGCATATACGCGCACGAATTACCAATTATACATATCTTGCGCACATTACAAGCCTACTCCTTGGCAGGAGATCATCAGCAATCCTATTTCACACAGAACTGTATTACGTATGCTGCGAATGTATACACATTTGTTTATACATTTGAATGATTATCAAGTTATATATATATATATATACATATATAATATATGTATGTATGTAGACACCACTAGATACATCTATAATAATAAGTGAATGTGTAGAGACAGGAATACCAATCTTATTTTTCGAACAGAATCGTGAACAGAACTGGTATCGGTGCAGTTCATGCGGTTTGGCATCTGATTTCATACTCATCGACAAGTTCGAATACTCGTACGTGTATTGTTTGTTAAAATTTATGTACGATCACGATATTATTTCATTTCGCAGTACATCATTATTCTATGCGTATGTTTGGTGATTAATCGGGACATGAATGAATAATTGTGCGCGTATGAACTCAAAAATATAAATTCATTGCGGGATGATTTGTGGATTCGGAATGAAATAATAATAATTGTGTGTGTGTGTGTGTGCGCGACGGATTGAAAAATCGGTCATTTTCATTGCACGCATGCGATCACATGCGATCTTCTCAATTCTGAACCACACTCTGTGTTTAATTTATGACGCAGGCGTTCGGACAACATTTATTGAAAGAAAATGATAAAAATAGCCGAGGAGATCGACCTTGAAAATTACACTCTAATACTTCCGTCGGTGGCTGTTGGAAACGTTGGACAATTATGCGTCGATCTAATAATATCCAGTTTGAATTTAGATAAAATTGGTAGCTCGTGGAATCCCATGTTCATTCCAATTTGTGGGCTTGATCCTTACCGTGACGATGATGACGGATCAAGTTCTCTTTGCACCACTGCTGATTTGTACATTGGAACGTCTCGCAACATAATTCTTTTTCAACTACGTTCACCATACGTTGGAAATTCGAACAGTTTCTTCGATGAATTGTCACGATTCATTCGACAAAAGAAGATCAGCAAGGTAGTACATACGTACCAGTACATTGACGACGAAAACATGACCATCATCAACGATGATGATGACTTAATCTTCCGTTGTTCCCCATTACGTGTTCTTATTTTTTACTGATCGTCTCTCTGTCATCATTTATAGACTGTGATCTTGACCAGCAGTTACGATTACGAACGCGCCGATAGGCCGGAGCCTGCTGTACGATATCTCACCACAGATGCTTCTTTAATAGGAAATGAGAAGCTCGTTGAAAGCCTTTGTTGGACAAAGCATACGAAACGGCAGAGTAGTTCAACGGGATCGGAAGCGGCAGCGGCGACGACGATGCAGCGACGATACATTCCTGGTGGTGGATTTGCGAGTGCACTTTTTGAACATCTTGAATCGATTGAAATCCCGTGCACAGTACTTTTCTGTTACTGTTCAGAAGGAGACAATGTTTCCGACGCGTTGATATTGTTCAAGGGCTTGAATGGATGGTTGAATTTTACGAATAATGATACCAATGTTAATCAGGCCAATGATATAAAATATCCGCCCTCTTGGGAATACTTTTTTGGTAATCCACCCTCCGCTGGAATGTATTGAGCTTCGTGTCGTGGTCGTCACTCAGTCCTCCTCTCGACCGATTATGTCATTCTTGATTATGTCGCAGCAAGTAAATCGTTGTATACGTGGTATTCACTATCGTTACGTCAAATCATTCCTACCTGTCCCACCATCCCTGTTGTCCCCACTCTTTTATAAATAAACAATGCAACGACATCGAGTTAAATTACAAAATGAAATGATTTATTACACATTGCTGTACACACGTTGACAAATTATAAAAGTTATTTTTTGTTTATTAATTTGTTCCTAAAGAGTATTCAAGCGAGGAGTTTAAATTTGGTGGAGAAAGCGGAATACGCGATTAAAGTGGCTAAAAGAACAGCGAGGAGTTCCGAATTGACCCAAGGTCCAAGGTACACTCCAGGATTGTTAAGTACTACTACAGCCAATGGTTTCACGCTGCTCGGATCTTCTCCGTTCCGTACTGCCTTACGTATAGCCGAATATCTTTCTTCATCGAACAATTTTATGTTGTAATCCCCGGATCGAGCTTTTTTCGCATCTTCCGTCCATGAAACCTAAAATATTTACATTAAATTAGGGTGTAACGACGACTAGGCTCCTCTTCTTAACTTTCGATACAGCGAAGTAAATCACGGTGAGGGTTACGACTTGGAATGCAAGCAAAACAAGCTGTCGCTGCACTGCTCTTACTACTGATTACCTGGTACTTGTTATCTGAACTCAACCTGGCAGCTGGTAATGATTTGCCATCGACTTCTGCGTAAAGTGTAATACCCTTTACTCCGTTGCTGCACTTGAGCAGAAATTGCGTTGTGAAAGCAACGTTCGTTAGAATCGTTGCGTCTTCCGTGACATATGCGCTCGCGACAACCTCTGGCTTTTGACAAATTTTCGCAAGAGTTTTCGAAATACCACAAATAACGAGAACACACAAGATCATACGTCGCTTCATCATGAAATTTTACGCGTGGCGTTAGTCAACCGCGATTCGTTGTAAATATTATTCACAAATAAGTCGTATCGAATTTGCCACGTGCACACGTCTGCCACTCTGGCACCGCCACAGTATGCATAGTATAAGAAGCACCACACCACAATCAATCCGTCCGGACTGTCCGGAGTCCGGGTGTCGCATCGCATGTACACATAGACATACAACACATACATATGATCCAGTCAGATGTTAAACGATTCCATCGATTCCATGGTTGGCTTTAGCTTGATCCATGGCTTGGTTTCGTTTCAGCCATGTAGTGTCAGCCGTGTCAGCTGGTATCGCTGGTATTGGTATATCATTGCATATCGTTGTCGTTCACGTTAGTGCATTAGTTGCGGAACGAACCACAGACTTGTATAGAAGGGTTCGATAATGTAACGCAATGGAACCAGAGTTATCAGAAGAACCTCCTACACGTACGCAATTTACTGTGGACGATTTAGACGTCGAAATATTGCCACTTATCTACGAAATAATTCGAAGGTTCGTGTCGTCTTGGTACATAATTTAAACGACTATACTGACTACGAATGAATATAAATAACTATATATATATATCAGAGAGAACATTCATAATTCGCACGCGTTGCAATTATTACAAGTAAACGTAGTTGAACAACGAGAACTGTTCGCAAAGAGTAAATATAGTTTCTCGATGTGACATTTGTTGCACAATCTTTTCATTATACACGTGTATTTATTTTATTTTTAGCATTGAAAAAGATCCGTACGATACTACACAGAAGGCAAAAGAATCTCAGGATACGAGTCATAAAATAATAGAATTACAAAAAAAGTTAGATTCAGCTAGAGCACAGGTAGTGAACAATGTTTTACAACAATGATTATAGCTACTACTTTAAATTGTTCATAAGTGTTTGTTGTCATGTTCTTGGCCTAATAACCTTCACAAAATATCGTGTGTGCGTGTGCGTGCGCGCGCGCGCGTGCTTATGTACGATATAGAAGAAAATTCAAACCGATGACCAGTTAGCAACCTGCATTTTGACGATGTATAATGCATATTTTATTGCTTGTTTTGTAGATTAAAAGGCTGCCAGGAATCGAATATAGCAAAGAAGAACAGTTACAGAAACTCGAGACTCTTCGCAAACAACTCAGACTTAAGAGAGAGCTTTTACTGAAGTATCGTAATATGTGTAGTTTCGAGATTCCAAAAGTACAGTAACAGCACGATATCTTTTGGCACGCTGAGAGGGAGGAAAGAACCGAACGAGAAGTGAACCAAGGACACGTTGACATGGGGATTTTCCGTGTGTTATTCGCATACTTGATGCGCAACGAACAATTGATCAATAAATTAGCTGATTCAAAACCTATCAGACGTTCTGCGCAACTCGTAGCGTATTTGTTGCTACAGAGCAGAACACGTGGCATTCCTTTGCCATTTAATCGTGAGGAATTAATCAAAAGATTAAGGAGTTTTAATCAGACGTTCAGAGAAAAAATACAGGAAGCAAAGGATGAGATGAGAAAGAATTCACCCAAGTAGTCACCTTCCGACGATGATATTTTTCGTAGCTATGATTTATCGTAAATCGGTTTGACAAGAGTATCGTTGTAATCACTTCGTCGATGATAGTAACAATAAAATATATGAATATACATAGATATGGTGATTTATTATTCTTCAACCTGTCTTTGCTCGTGTATACTACCTACATCATTCGATCTATGGCGTGCTGATGATGCGGTGACAATGGTAAGAGAGAAACGTATGCATCGCGTGTATTTTCCACAGATTATATTTCATCGAGTCAAGATGAATTCGTATTCTTCGTATAAAAATAAAACGCTTTATGAATAACAAAGTATATTTGTCGACGTACATTTAAAAACGACATTTCATTATTTTGTAATGATCGAGTCAAAATGAAGTGAAAGACCATTTGTAATCTAATTTAAAGATTGAAAAAGCACGTTGTGCGTTATTTGTAAGTACAATACTTAATTAACAGAGGGGTTCAGTGGGAGTTCTTTTCTCTCTATCACCACAATCCCAAGATGGACACGATACGCGATCCTTATGGATCATATACGTATTAGATGACCCCACAAACGCGCGTAATTTACGTGCGGCGATTATTAAGAAACGATGATTTTATACACTTATTTCAATATCAGTATAAATAACTGCGGAAAAAATATATATATGTGTGTGTGTGTGTGTGTGTATATATATATATATATATACGTATAATACATTTTGTTCGTTTAACGTCTGAACAGTTCGCTTTACGTTCCTCGAAAATGGATTTAAAAATTATTCTTGCAAGATCTCGAGGACGACAATGAACGACGACAATGAACAACGACGACGACGACGACGACGACGACGAGGAGGACTCATTACTCGGATCAGTATCAAGTATTTATTATCAATTCTCAAGTGTCGTAAAAACCGGTTGTACATAAAACTCGCGCAGTTTACAACTTTGTGGGGGGATTCTGTTCTGACAAAGGTTGAATAATACTGTTCGCAGTATTATGAGATCGTCCTCCCCTCCGCCCTCTACTTTTTTTGTTTTGACTTTTGTCAGATTTTTGAAGTATGTTTTCCAGCTTCGATGTTTGTCCTTCGAACGACGGAGAATTGGTTTCAGCAGTTGTATCTAACGGCTGAACATGAAAATCCAGATTACGAACAACTTCTTAGCTACGCTTACACGTGCACGTATATACGTTACGTGTAGTAGTTTACAGTATCGTTATTTCTTTTCCGGTTTCCGGAACATACTTGCATCGTAGACGAAGAGTTTTGTCGATTTTGCAATGATTTGTTCGGCTTGTTGGATCTGCAGGTTTGCATGATCGTCGTACTGCTGCTGGAGTATGGATCAAGTTTCACAACGTTACCCACAGCTTTGGTACGTCCCTCTCTAAAGACCATCCTTTGTCCCGGTTTTATGTACTCGGGATGTTTTATGAATCTGAAGCGTACCAAAGCTTTATCTCCCGTTCGCAAACAATCTTGCGACATAGAAATTATGGACGCTGTTTGTCTGATGCTTCCGCAATGCACTGAAAATAAGAACAAAAAATCACGGATACGGACGACAAAACGAAAGACGTTCGACGATCTCGTCGTCGTCGAAAGATCTCGTAGCGATCAAGGTGCATTATGTGATGCGAAATTATTAATCACCCATTGCTTGATAACAGGAACTTATCGTTGTCGGATGATGCAACACAAGAATTTCCCCTTCGAATTCCCAACAAGCCTGCGGGTTTAATGCCGGTGCGACCATTACCATACCTTTCCTGATTTGCGACCGTTTAATTTTTTTCAAAGCGAAACTGGCGGTCTGGCCGCCTCGCACTTCGCGAACGGGCATTCTTTTCCTATGTATACTTTTCACTGCGATCGGAATGAAACGTCCCAGTGGGTCGGGTCCCAATAACAGAGTGTCGTTTAATTTTATGACACCTTTCAACGTCGTGCCCGAAACTACTGTACCAACACCCTGAAAATCCAGCCAACCACGACGAAAGAACGTGATGGGAGTAAAATAAATTTTGTTCCGCTCCTAATCTTAACCACAATCTAGTACTACTACCACCACCACCACTACCACTACTTACAGGCACCGAGTACGTGTCGTCTATCTGAAACTCTGCCGGTTCGTCTTCGTGGCTGATCATTCGAGCAGTCAACAAATTCAAAAACATTTTAAGCAGATGTAAGTTTTCTCCCGTTACGTTCGATACTTGGAAAATTGGGCACAAGCTGTACACAGTACAAATTTTGCAATCGAAGATTGAGATCAATCGATGTAAAGTTCGTCGTCGATCGACGTGTGCGAGAGCACGTCGGTACGCGCGTATGTGTATCGCATTTTGACACACATCTATACTGACCGTTCCGATACAAAATTGGTAGCACCGACTACGACGTCGTCAGGCGTCTTGACGGTGACAGGCACCTTCCTGCAACCCGGTGACTTCAAGATCCTTATCAACAGTCTTAAATTTTCTTGCAGTATGTTCGGTGGGCACATGTCGATCTTTGTCACGACAACGAATACTGGTACCGAGAGGGCCAAAGCAAGACCTAAATGTTCCTTCGTCATTCCAACGATACCAGCGTTCGCGCCGACCATTAACATACCTGCGAACGAAAAAAGGGAGACAGAAAAAGACGTGAGCATACTGAGAATCTTATACCACACTAGCTTCGAGCCATGTGCCATCTACGACGAATCGTTAAAGAGAAATACCAAAATCGGGGGCATGACCGGTCATCCCAAAGACAGTCGTTTTCAAATATCTTTCGTGTCCAGCAAGATCGATGAACGTTATAACTTTAGACGACTTCTCGCATATCTTGACCCAGTCCAAAGATCCGTGTTCCGGTTTGTTCACCACGTTACCTAAACAAAAAAGTAGAGCGAGTAGGATCGACGGTCGAACATCGCGTGTAACGGAACGTAGCAAGTTTCTGAATTATCTACGATCACGATTATTATACATTTCATACCAACGCTATCGAATCCAAGAATATCATTTCCTACTGAGCTGGTACGTCCCGTTTCAGCTTCGTGCTTGTGGCGAAACAATTTTTGCCGCGCCAATCCTCGACCATTATCGAGTTCCCCGTGTGTCAATACACCCAAAAGTGTCGACTTTCCCGCATCGACGTTGCCGACGACGGCCACTCTGTGAAAAAGATTTTGTAGAATCGTTTCACACGACGATCTATCTATATATCTCTCCCTCTCTCCCTATTGTACTTTGTCGGTACATCGTCGCGGTCGACAAATTAGACAGAGACCTGATCTCCAAGAAATCTTGTCTGTCCAAACGTCTTCGAACAAGGTATTGCCCTATCAGTCCCTGATCTACTTTACTCTGACGTAACAGTACACAGTCTGCCTCCAATGTCGCCGCGAGGGACTGTAACGTAGCAACAGATGCTTCATATTCGTCGTCCTTCAAACCATCTTCCGAACCACCTATACGGTAAAAAATAAAAGATAGTTGCGAGTCGTGTCCACACGATGTACGTTTTACATTTACACAGTGATAACGTGCAAACGTTGCGAACTATTCCTGGGACGAACCTTCCCCGAAACCGATGTCAAAGATCGTCTCACTGCCACCATCCTGAATTCTTTCTCTCAAACGTCTGAGCAATAGCTCATACTGATCCTCTGACGGACTAACTAAAACGCTCTGTAATTCACCAATATCAACGATTAGTCGTCTGTACGCGTACCTTATATCGTTCCGGAATTACGAAGGTATTGAAACGCGGTAGCGAACCTTTCCTCTAATGCTGGAATAATCCATGTTAGAAACAGGCGCGGGATCTCTCTCGCTCTTTGCCACTATGACAGACTCGCTTCCTGCCATGGTATTACTGATCTTATGCGATCTGGTTTAATAACGCGGATTATCTCTTTTACTCGATGTTACAGTGCCAGGCTGGTCACGGTACAAGTTCCAACTGTATTTAATGACGACGTCGACGACACGTTCCATTGACGAACATCTTCCAATATTTGAATCCGAATCTTCTTCTATAGATTTGTGATATCGTTACACTCATACTATTTAATCTGTATGATCCGTTTTATCGTTTCTTATTGTTAGTACTACTACTACTACTACTACTACTATCGTTCTTATTGTTATTATTATTATCGTTGTTCGATGCGTGACAGGGCTGAAAAGAAGATATTTTTTTAGATACCGGCGGATTATTGTGTAAAGATAAATGATTCGACATTGCCCAGAAGGAAAAACAGCTTTGAACAGCAAAGCGTTTACGATTCTATCTGATGAAACACGTATTAGATGTCTTGTACCATCTACGTACACGCGTAACGGGTCACTCAAAATTCATATTTTTCATATACGAACAAAACGTGTTTTTGTTTTTAAGCAAGTATCGATGAAATACTGCACGTATTAAATCGTTATCTGTCGAGGACGACGATTCGAAAGCAAAGTAAATCGAATCACAATTTCAGTTTCAGACAATATGCTCCAGTTGCGCGTTGTACTTTTGCTTTGCAATCACACGTAACTGACGTAACACACACGCGTTGTCAAAAGGTATCGAAACTCCGTTTGACCGATCACACCGATTACACCGATCTGCTGCTTGCGAAAACGCTGTCAACGTCAACGACTGGACGATTTCATCAGATCTCATTTCTTTCAATACGATTTATGTTTCGGCCTCTGTGCGTACTACACTACTACGTGTGTCTGCGTACAGTCGGCGCGGTAAGTGGTACCGAGACCGAGTAGTAAGTTAAGTAAGTCAAGTTGCAAATAGCCAAATAGCAAACTGCCATAATAAAGTATATTTCGTCGCATACTGGACCAAAACAAACTGGGACTGAATGTAATCAAATAAATCGTCTTACCTTTACGAATATTATATTAATTAACTACCGAGGTGATGAAATGATTAAACGTTCTTGCGAGTATTGCATTACTGTCACCACCTATATATATTTGTGATTATATAGGTGTTCGAATGTTGCTCGACATTGTTACTCGCGTTACTCGCCATCTGTAGGACCGTGTTCGAAAAAAGTAAGGATAGATTTCCGCCTACACGTAACGCGCGCGCAGTAACACACACACACACACACACACACACAAAACACAGTGACAACTTCCGGCTGATACTACACTGTCTACACTATATATACTGTGTGCATGATACGTATACGTGATGTCGTCTCTGTAGTTTTTACCTGCGTTCACATTCACGGGTAAATCATAGGTGATCATAGGGGTAAAACAGCTGTTCGTCGGGGATGTGGTTATTGTGGTTTGTGTCATATGTAATAATAATTGGCTTGGCCAGCGTTGAAACTCGTTCGTCACTACCGTACTCACACGATCAGTTGTCAACTTTTGGTCGTAAGTGAGTAAGGATGTTGACTCGGTCCGAAACAATTATTGCCGTGCTGCACTACATAATGTATATTCGTTGTTGGTGACACACGCGACTACCTTGATTACACAGAATTCACAGGCGATTATCATGGCTCAGTGCAAGTTGACCCCTAGCGAATTCATATGCAACGCTTTTTCGCCGCAAATCGGTGCTGTGTGCTCAACTGCGGCCGATGCCGCCTGTCAAAAAAATAATTTATCGTTCGTTGAACTGCTGCAACCGTTTTGTAAGCTGAACGTCGAAGGTAACGATTCGCATACTTATTTTTCGTTTATCATCGTTTTTATTACGGCGATCAACGATCTGCGACCGACCGATCGAATCCGAACGTGATTATTCTTCCTGATCTGACTGCACTACTCACACTAACTAGCTCATTATTATTATTATTATTATACCAGACGCAAATTTTTGTTTCTAACGACAAACAAACGATACCTGTTTCGTTGCTATTTTCGGTTCATTCAATTAGATGTTGTTGTTGTTGTTACGAGCTGTGACCATGGCAGGCACGCACGTATCGATTCGTTCATAGAGTCCCGTTGTTGCTTCGTTCTTCGATGGGTGAATGAGAACGGAGCAGGATGGCCCTTTTCTTCGAGTCGTTCTGCTACCATACAAAACCTATTTATCTTTGCACAGGTCATTTCAAAGATCCACAAGGGAACACGACGAGTGTCAGGAACCTTCGACTTTTTATACAAGATGTGCATGCACAGCCTCCAGAACCGAGTGTTGCCAGGAAGATGTTGAACGAAGCAGTCAGTTCGGCTATGTGCGAGCATACGACCAATGTTAAAATCGGGACGACAGAGGTCGATATACCAGTATCGGTGCCTTGGTTTGAGGCATGGAGGGAAATGTTCTTGAGCGTGCAATTCCCGTCGGATCACGAGTTCACCAAACATTTTCTCGCTTGTATGATAGTAGTTTCCACGACGGAAGACAATCCCTTAGAGAAAATTCAAAATATGGGTGCACAGTTGAATCAAAATATTCCCGGAAAATTACCAAAATGGTTTAATAACAATACACTCAGATATTACATCTTGATACACGATACGTTGCAAGACGACAGGAACAAGTACTTACCTACCTCGTTCGCTGCTATGAAAAATCTTATTCGATAAACGATCAATCATTTTTTATTTTTACAGGGCTGAGATAGTTTTCGCAGAAATGAAAAATATATATGGCACTAACAATTGTTTCCTCCTACAAATGAACTCCAGACCACCCGGTCAATCGGACGATGACAATACTCATTTACCAGATCCTTGGAGTCAATTTTTAGTAAAACATTCAGAGGTGTCTACGTCAGGTGGTAGCGAACAGAACAGTTCCCCTCGTACGCCCGCGGACACCAGTGGTGTCTCGTCGATGCCGAACCAAGTTTCGACGGAGAATGGTGACAAGTACGTGTGTACCGTTCTTCGCAAAGTCCGCCGAGACGTCGGAACACTCAGGTTCTAACAACACGGAACGTGTACACGTTGTTCATTTTAGAACGAGTCATGCTGGAACACCGATAGCCCCACAGAACGTAGCGGGTCGTTTGATTTCTCCGGACTCGCACGATACTGTCGACACTGTCTCTTCCGCCGAGACGACGACGACGACGACGACGACGACGACGACGACGATGCTCGCCGAGTCGACGAACGCGAACTTGGAAGTCGGACAGGAGGCCGTGTCCGTTACGATCCAGCATCCTTTGAGTCCGACAACAACGAACGCCGCTGCCGCCAACGACAAGACACAAAATTCTACGCTGTTATACGGGGTTAGAGGATTGACCGCGGGTATCGTCGGTAGCGATGCTCCGATAAACGCGAACGTTTGGGCGGACTCTCCTAGTTACACGACAGCGACGCAACAACGTCACGGTGCTAGATTGTCCACGCAGGATCTCGAGAGATTACGAGCGTTGATAACCGAGTTTTGTTTGAAAAGTCTATTGCCGTACGTGGAGAAGCAGATCGGTTTATTGAACGACGTGATCTCGAATAAGAAAGGTGTCAGTAGATCATTGTTCAGCGCCACGAGACGATGGTTCGGGACGAACAAACCTGGAATACCAGGACCTGGTACGCCATCGAACGCTGTAATGTACGTTCATCATTCGATCGATACTTATCTCGTCCCTCTGATACTATCTCGTATACGTATTTGCTCGAGGTTGTTCCTGTTAACGACAACAACAACGACCACTACCATTCGACCACTAAAATTACCTGTCATAGAACCTGTCCTCTATGATACATACAAAGATATGCATACATACATGTTTATATATATATATATATATATACATACGTTGTTAAGTTCCAGCCTTGTTGTTTGGATTTTTCCAGTTATACGACAGAATCGCCAGAATTACAATTGCGTCGGTTAGGTGACTTATGTTTCATGTTTGGTCACTATTCGCTCGCTTACCAAACGTATCATAGTGCGAAGAGAGATTTTGCAGCGGATCAAGCTTGGCTTTATTACGCAGGTGCTCTTGAAATGGCCGCTTTGAGCGCGTTCATGCAGGGTGAAACTAACAGGAAGACCATCGAATACATGGACGATGCAATATTAACTTATTCGACCAGTTGCAAAATGCCGCAGTTTGCGACGAGAGCGACGTTATTCAGCGCTGAATGTTTGAAAGGTAGAAGTTTGTACGGGGAAGCTGCCAAACAGTTGATTCGTATGACCAGCGAAGATTCCGATTTGCGTTCCGCGCTTCTGTTGGAACAAGCCGCTTACTGTTTCATCGGCCCGAAAATGATGCGCAAGTACGCGTTTCATGCCGTTCTCGCTGGTCACCGATTCTCGAAAGCGGGCCAGAGAAAGCATTCGTTGCGATGTTACCAACAAGCGTACCAGGTACGACCACCACCACCACCACCACCAGGTATTCTCGTTGTCCGTCCATTCGTTCTTACAATTTCTCGTTGGAGTCGTCGTCGTCGTCGTCGTCGTTCTACTCGACGTTGAAAATGACACTGATCCGCTCCTTGTCACGTACATATTATTGCATCGCATGTATCATGTACATAGTTGTTGTTATGATTATTATTATTATTAGGTATACCATGGTAGAGGTTGGTCGTTAGCCGAAGATCATATACATTTCACGATTGGCAGACAAGCTGCGTCGTTGAAGCAAGTCAACGAAGCGGTAAAAGCATTTGAAAAATTGTTGAACGTTCACAGCATGCAGCCGGCAACGCAGCAAGCAGCGTTTCTACGTGAATTTTTACATATCCACAATGTAAGTACGTGTACGCTGCGCGACACCTCGCTGCTCGCCTCGTAATGATAACAGATTCTTTTTCAGTATCTTGTAATTATAATCATATTTTGACGATGCATCGCGTGTCTCGCAGATACTGTTACAGGAAGCTGTTCCGTCGACGGACGATCGACAGCTGCTTCCTATCTTGCCATTACCACTGATAGACAGCGGTAACATCAAAGTACTGTACGGTCCTATGGTTGAATCGTGCCAAGACAATATTTTCGCGAGTCACGTTTCGTTCGACACCGCAGCCGAAGACTGCGACGATGCGAGATGGTCAAGAATGGAGGAGATGTTGATCACGGAAGCTCAGGGATCGCCTCCGATGATATTCAAACCCACGATCGCATTGTATTCGAAGACGAGCAACAATACGTCGAAACCAAACGCTGTATCGAACGAACCGGTCCACTTTTCTATCGAATTGTATAATCCGTTGCACATCCCTTTGCCGGTATCGAGCGTCGCTTTGTTATGGTTGTTCACTTCGACCGATGGACAAGTTACTACGAACGAAATGAAATCATCATCGTCGTCGGAGAATTTAGAACGGATGGTGGAGACGCAGGTGATCGAGAAATTGATTTTACAACCGAATTCCAAACAAAACGTAACGTTGCGTCTCGTACCGAGAGAAGTAGGCGAGTTAAAGATATTAGGTTTAAGCTACCAACTGTCTAATCCGATACATGCGATAGATCCGCCGGTGGTTAACCCGACGATAGCTATCAGTGGGAAAAGATTGTTTGAAATTAGGGGGCCTAAATTGAAGAATGTTAAAGAGAAAGCTGGTGCAAATTTGTACGGTGCAGATTACAGATTGGAGATGAATATCACCGAAAGGGCTCCCTTCATGCAGGTATGAAATTTGACGATATACTTGAAACTTGGTGGTGTACTCGTTGTAATACTCGTGCACGACAACGACGACCCACATGTACTTGACAGAAGTTTTTATCTTTGCTGTTTCTATCTTTTTTTCTTTCAGATTTTCTTCAGTCAACTGCCTTCGGAAATGTTATGTGGTGAAATTAAGAAGATAGACATTACATTGAAGAACGTAGGCAATTCACCGTTATCGAACATTTATTTAACGTCTACGAATATGAAACCTCTTTCGTTAGGAGATAATCAAACGTCGACCACGGAAGAAGAAGGTACCGGTTATAGAATTGCAGCCTATATTTTTACCTGTTATTTACACCTACTACTACGATATATTATATACTACGAATCAATTATTTGCAGTTTCATTTTCAGAACGGACGATGAAGATGACGACGACGACGACGACGACGACGACGACGAAAAAGAGTACGAACAAGCATATAATGAAAATTCCACTACCTTCGAATAGATTAAACGTTGGAGAGACGTACGTGAGACCGTTTTGGATTCAAGCGCCGTTCAACAAGGGAAATCATCGGATAGATTTGCTGTTTTATTACGAGAACGTAGCAGATACGCAGCAGCAACAGCAGAAAATCGTGATAAAACACCGACTTTGTAGACACTCTTGGAAGTTGACCGTGTCGGATTCTCTACAGATCAGTGCGTCTGCTTCGAGAAGCGTGCTGTGCACAAAACACGATTCGCCTACGTTGAATTTGATAGTATGCGTCAGGAACGCGAATCAGCTTCACGATCCAATCGCGAACGAGATCCTCCTGTCGAGAATATCGTTTCTCAGCGATGGATGGTCAGTGTTCAATTCTTCTGTGTCGTCGTCGTCGTCGTCGTCGTCGAAGGACATAAAAGTAAAACCTCAAGAAATGTTGCATTTAATGCTAAAGTTGAGAAAGGACGAGAGCGAATCGAGGCGAATCTCCGATGTATCGTTAACGCAGGAGAATGATCCCGTGGAATCGGATTCGAATTACCCGTACATCAATTTCATAGAAAGAAAAGATATTCTGCCATTGGACACGAGTGAAAACGCGGAAGCACAACAACAACAGCAACAGCAGCAACAGCAACAGCAGCAGCAGCAACGGTTGCTGCCACAAAACGGAACGGAACAGAAATCATTGTTCGCAACCATGAAATTATGTTCGACGTTGATTCTGAATTGGAGGGCGAAACTGATAGAGAACGGGGCGACCGTTACGAGACAAGCGATCGGTCAACATTATCTCGATATCGAGCACTTGAACAAAACTTACAACCATCCCGAACAAGTTCTGGTCGAATCGAACGAATACGTCGGCGGCGGAGGCGGCGGACGTTTGAAAGTCTTTGGGCCCGACAGAAACGTATTCGACTCCTCGTCCGTGCTGACAGGTGTTGCTGCTGCTGGCAAAGAACAACTGTCGGAAACGAATGAACTTCTCAAGAACGTGATTTCGTTCTCGTTGAGCCACGATAAACGAATCACTCATGACTTCGATCGAAGTCGACTGTGTTTCGTTCCGGTAATAATGTACATAAAGAATCACTTAGGATCGCAGATCGACATTAAAGTTAACACGATAGGAACAAGCAGGTACATAATACGGTAAAATAAACATTCTTCTCTTATATCTTCTCGTTTTTCCTCTCGTTCATCGTTTCATCGTTTTCTGATGGACCTGTCTGTTTTCAGTGACAGCTACCTTCCGAACGTAAAGTCTCAGTTATACTCCCCGCAAGCTTCCGCGTATTACAGATACGCGTGCCATTCTGCGATTTGTTCTCACATAGAACCGTTAACGAGTAGTACTGTAAAGTTGCAAGCTGCCCTTCCAGCGCCCGGAACCTACGATTTAGCGGCGCGTGTGCAAGTATTTGTGAGAGTTGTAAATACTAGGGAATTCATATTGCAGAAATGGAAAATGGAGAGCATATGTATCATTATCGGTGATAGCAAATAGTTTGACAAATACATACGTATACACGTAGAGGTATTATAATTGTTACTACTATTACTACTACTACTACTACTACTACTACTACTACTACTACTACTATTACTACTACTGTTGTTGTTATTATTATTATTAATCAGTTAATATAATTGATACTTAAGGAATAGCGTAACAACATAAATTTCATTTGAAGAATCATTCCTTCGTACTATGTAAATATGTAATGTTTCAAACACAGTAAGTAAAACTACACTGTCTACATATAATTTATCGATCACGACCGTGATTAGAACTGTTTGCCTTTTTCTTTCTTCTCTTCGAAATCACTTGTTGTCCCAGCATTAGTAGGTATTATTATTGTTTTAAATAAATAAAACTGCTCCGTTCAATACTCGTTTGTTTACGTTTAATACGTACACACGTAATAGATTATACAACAATTGCACAAATTTATACATACACAGTTAGATATAGTTATAAAATACATGAAATATCACACTGCAAGCAGTTGCTACATAATGCGATGTCTGCACTCACGCACATAAATAATTCCATTTTTGGCATAACGTTACGCGCACGAAACAATGTATATGACCCTTATCATATTTTTGGTGTGCACTAGAATACTTTCTGTTTGATTTGTATAAAAGTTATAGATAGCTTTTTATGATTATTTATTATGGCTAGTTCGAGTAGCATGACGACGAGAGCAGAATATGTTTCAATTCTGATATTCTGCTACCGGTGAAAGAAGCAATCCGTGGTCGTGTCCATATGTATGAATGCAATCTTATCTGAACATGCGCTAATTCCCAGAAATTCATTTGTACATACATATGCTACGTTACATAGTACGGTAGCACGCGCCCGTAAGAATGATACACCGATAGCAGCAGGCCGACGTCACACATTGACAAGTGTTATTTGTACATTTAGGAAGCAATCATTTTTGTTTGAAATCTTTCGAAATCTCGCTATGCCGATTTCCATATACATATCGCTAAATTGCCAGCATACATGTACAATAGATGTTTCAATTGATAAGTTATCTCGAACCCGTAACCCTCGCCTACGACAGTGTGCCAGGATGCGCCGAATTTTTTATCCATCGTTTCTTTGATCATCCGTGAAACACTCTCGTAATTGTCGGCGTACTTTTCAGCCGCGGTGACGCATAATTCCATCGCTTCTTGCTTCATCTCGTCCGACATATCGCACTTCTGCAACAGACACAATTTTACGAAAGACTCGTGCAAACAAATATAATACAACATGATATACTTTCCGTGAAGTCTATATGTAATGTCACATGTATTTCCTCTCTGGCGTAACACTAGTAGACGAGCAAATACTCTCTCACATACACAGACATCCACACACACACAGAGTATTCTGAGTCGCCATTTGAAAATGTACGGCTTCTAGATCATTTAAATGTCTTTACGACTTATAGGATCTGAATCTCGTGCGAATTAATTATTAAAAGTATACTCTACTCGATGAACTATAAATAATAGTTCACGCTCGTAAGTAACAAGATGAAAATGATGTTTTTTTTGCAAAGTGACTTGTATCGATTAAACAATGCTATACGCGCCGCAACACGCTCGTACATATACGTATATTGACTTGAAAAGAAGTCGAGGAGTTCCCGACGATACAGCTGTCACACAAGATGAAATAGACATGTACATTACTTACTCGGCAGAGAGGATACGTGTGCAATATTTTGACGACGTCGTCCTTTTTCACCTCGGTCATCTCTGAATTTGAATTTTCATTAAAAACCACCGTATCTACTACTCATACGTATACATATCATGTATCTGTATACTGTGCATCCAAGTAATAGAGAGAATACCGACGGCATAATACATTCTCTGAGAATGTTGCCATCTTACAGGCGCCGCCGAGCAAGACCACACGAGCACACTACTACCACTACCACAGAGGGGTTGTATACATATGCTGTATACCTAAAACTATTCCCATTGGCAGTAACGGCACTCGCCTCTCACTGGCCACCGCTACCAGTGCCACTGCGCCACGTCCACAAACCCGAGCTGGATTAATTTCACTGTTATCAATTGTTATTACCAAAATGTACTATATTGGACATTATCCCAGAGGTTTTGCAAGAGCCTTGGAAAAATATGATTTTTATTACAATATCACAAACGTATAGTTATGTATATAACAATTAGCAAAGTATAGAACGCGATACACCGATGCTGCCTACGTATGTTACAGTGTATACACGCGCGCGCACACACACACACACACACACACACACACACACACACACACACACACACACACACACACACACACACAAACGTGAACAATATAGAGAGTATGTATTTGGCTTGAAAAATACTTTTGAAACTTATGTAAACGAGGTACGGAGTATAGGTAACTCTTCGGTTACTTATTTAAACAACAAAGACATTTATCTATGTTGGTACATGTATGTACAAGTAGTTGACTCTCGATGACGATGAAACAGAAGATGATAAAGATTTATGACACAATGTGTTGAAAATTAGAATCCGCTACACGATCATGCTTTTAATCATCGTCCTCCTCAGACAAGACGCGCACGGGGCTTAAAACTCGATTAAATTCATTTCTTTTGTCACTGTGTTTAAAGCTGTCGATGTTACGACCGATGAACTAAAGGATGTAGTGAAAGAGCGTACATGAGATCGGAAAGTTGACGCAGGTTCCCATGCCACGTCTCGAATGATTCCCTGATTTCTTGGATAGACGAGTAACGGATCTTTCCCTGTTATTTTGAGCAACTTTTCTTGAAGCATTATCAAACGAAACCTCCAATACTCGTAGCTGGCCTGTTTCAATGCGTTCACCCACTTCTCCACTTGTGATTCCGAACGACCACTCAACACATGCCTTTTCTCGTATTCATCGCGAAATGCTATGCTGAACGCGAACACGCCCTCCGTCGTGCCAGCATCAAGATTAATACTGTAGTTTTCTAAAATAATTACTCCCGCTGGTTGCCTGTCGTCGATCTGTCCTAACTCGTTGATGTTAAAATAAAACAACAAATTGTATCTTAACTTGAACCATTTCTCTTTGAATCCTAAAATGATAATAACTATAGGAAAGACGATGATGGAGCGTGTATGAATAGATCATAAATCGACTAACCTGATTTATGAGCCCGTTTATGATTCAAACGGCCTTCGATGTCGGCAGGTCCACTACTCGCTTCCGCGAGTTCTTTCTCGTTGAACTTCATACTTATTATGTGACATATAAGAGTGAAAGAACTTTATTTTTACACATTCGTATCGCGTAATTTTCGCTGTCAGATGGTCGCAATAATACTGCGTTCCACTATTGTTCTACTACACTTATTCATATTGTTATTCACCTATTGCTATTGCTATCATTGTATTTAGCGTGAGTCAGTCTTTCATCCCTTCCAGCGATTACAAATTAAGATAACTGCTTACAAATTATTACGTGCGCGGACCAAACCGACCAAACGCGAGACGCGGGGCAGGGCGATTGTGCTGATGGCTGAAATTTTAAATTACAATTACACCTGCGTCTTGATTCTACAATTTTTTGTAGAGGAAAATATTCAAGTGTCACAAGGGTAGTGTATGGCGTGTATGGCATCACTATTCACGTATCAGTCCCCGTTCGTTATTAAGTCATTGAGGAATAGTGCGAGAAATTATGAGCAATTATGAGAGTGAGAATCAAATTCCGCAAATCTTTTAAGTGAAACATGAGTTTTACTGTTGCTCAACGCACGGCGCTATGGTCGAGATTCGTTCTTTCTTACGCATTTTACGCACTGCGGATGCATTGTTGTTATATGTTTGCGTGTGCACATACAGACAACATACACGAGTGTCACAAATGTCAACTGCACGTGTAACGTAATCGTTCAGAATTATAATGAATTACTTCGTAATCCAATAACGAATACGGGCTGCTCTCGTGTTCTCGTAGAGTTCGAAATTAAGCATATCAGCAATAAAGAATAATAGCAATAGGTGTCGGATGCGCACTGCATGGTCCAGGGTCCAGTTAGTCCAGCAATTACAGTATACATACATATAGTTTGTTAGTTCACTGGCTATCTGAGTCTGAGCACTGGCGAAGCGAAGGTGAAGGCGAAGGTGGGCGAAGGGATCGTGCACGGTCGTATTTACGTACTTAAAAGCCAAGTTCATCTTGTCGCAAGTGTATTTTAAGTATACTTATGAAACATAAATAAACGATGGGTGCTCTGACGAGTCGACAAAACGCTGGAGTAGAAGAAGTTGACATCGTTTCGAATCATGCATATAAATATCCTCCTCGTTCAGGTTCGTATCCATGCGAGGTAGATAGGTTCATACATGCATACATTTTATAAATACCAAACGTCTTCGACGACATGTTCCGAAACGTTTTTCATATATTATAATCAATTTTCGTTCATCAGGAAGTTATTTCGGTAGTCATTTTATAATGGGCGGTGAACGGTTCGATACACCTCAGCCAGAAGCATATCTTTTTGGAGAGAACGCCGATTTAAATTTCTTAGGAAGTCGCCCAACCCCAGTAATCTCTCTCTCTCTCTCTCTCTCTCTCTCTACATATATGAATATATATACATATATCATTTAGTCTCGTCTAGCATTGTTTTACGTTTAAACGTGTACGTATACACGCGAAGAATGTTAAAGAACTATTTTCGTTTCAGTTTCCATACCCACCGCCACAAGCTAACGAGCCTACCAAAACGTTAAAGAGTTTAGTGAACATAAGACGAGAATCGTTGAGATTGATTAGGAACGTTGATCAAACTTCGACGTCGCCACAGTGTCAGACCGTCGTCGTGAAGCATTACGGGGGGGATGGATGTGACATTGATAAAAAACCGAGTCGTTATAATATTGAATTCACATTTGATTGCGACGTGAGATGTGCAATTACGATATATTACTTTTGCACCGAAGAAGTGACAACGAAAGGCGTTACGTGCGTATCGAATGTCGATATTAGAAAAAAAAAGTGCACGGGGCATATCGTACGATACGACGATATAATTTCGTTTGTAGGTACACGCCAAGAGATCCATCTATGAATTCTGAAACATATTATTATAAGAAAGGTGCAAATCAATTATTTTCGCAAACATCCCATGTATTTGACCCGAGAGCCTACAGTAAAGAAGATTTATTGTACAACGCTGATAGGGAAGTATGTAGTACTTTTATACTGTCTCTGTTTTGTTGGATGATAAACTGTTATTTTTACTCACTACTACTACTACTACTACTATTACTGTTAATCAGCAATGTATGCACGCGCTGCGATCAATTGTCATTCTTCTCAGATAATACCAATAGCCATTCACTGCGTCGCCGAAGAAGGTACCGATGAACCGAAACAGTCTCACACGACCATCGCTGTCGTTGAGAAACATTCGGATGGAACGTATGTACTAAAAGCCCTCAAACAAAAACTGTTCGTCGATGGTCTTTGTTACTTGCTTCAAGAGATATACGGAATTGAAAACAAGAACGGCGAGAACGCTAAGGTATATGCACGCCCCACACGCACAAAACGCCTTTCATCATCGCCTTACACTCGAATTTCTTTCATAATCCAATTTCCTTTTACTATCATCGTCATCGTTATTATTCGTTCAGCAACAGGGGAGCGACGAAGATACGGATGACAATGGATCCGAGTGCGTTATCTGTATGTGCGACGTACGAGACACTTTGATACTACCGTGCAGACACTTGTGTTTGTGCAACAACTGCGCGGATTCACTTCGATACCAAGCGAACAACTGTCCGATATGCAGAGCTCCTTTCAGGGCACTCCTTCAAATTAAAGCTCTGCAGAAAGCGACCGGAGCCATAGTATCGAATCCACCTTTTCCGCCAGAGGTAATTAACGATTAAGCCTTATTTCCATAAACGCAAACCGGGACCCCCGATCTGCCTGCCTGACAACGACGAAAGTTAAAAAATTTGATGGACGTGAAATCCGCAGGGAAGTTGCGAAATCATACCGGCTGGATACGAAGCCGTCTCTCTCATAGAAGCTTTGAACGGTCCGTACATTCCAAGGACCGCGGCTCTCGCGCCAGAATCTCCAGATACGCCCGATACAGATACGGTCAGCGCGATTCAAGCAGCGGAAGCATTGAACAGGTAGACGAATATACGATTACATTGTCCATTTTGTTTTTTGCTAAATCGTGTCTGTCATACTGAGAAGATCTGCCGAACGTACGCCCGTATCGAAACACGTGTCGAAAGAAGCAGATGTATCTGCAAGAACGAGTGGCACTACCGCGTGCCCTACGCCAGAATTCCGGATGTCAGTTTTATTGGCCAGAGACGAGCATTCCGGGTCGCAGAAAGATCTTCATAATCGATCACCTGCCGCGATGAGAATGAAATCGTCTGGACACATACGAGAAAAAGCGGCGTTACGATCACGGGACACGCTCAGACTTGTAAACGAGAAACAACCTACGTCTCTTTACGAGGTACTTTTCACCATATACACACACACACACACACACAGTCTATAATTTTCATTTTGTTTGTCGACGCATCGTCGTTCTTTTTACACGTATCTGCTGCTGCTACTACTCTTAATTATATTTTTGCAGGGGCAAACACAAGACGAAGACAGTGAGGCCGAGAAATTGTCTCCGTTGTTGGACGCAGCGACTAGTACGGAAGCGTTGAACGCTCAAAGTCGTGATATTTGCGATATGGACATGGACGACGAGATTCCAAACGTGGAAAATGAAAACGACGACGATAATAATATCACGTGTCATTCACATTGAGCGTTCGCGCGAAATCATTTTCATCTTGGAAATCGAATCGGTCGAATTATCTTTAATATCTTTTGTACTGTATACATATAAAGTCGCGTTTCTCGCGAAAATTCTGATCAATGTAAATAACATGTTATGTAGATATAAAATTTGGACGATGGACGAAAATGAAAATTGAAACACGTTTGCTTTCATTTCAAACTGATTTAATGAGATAATTGGTCAAGAAATTAGTGCCCACTTAAGCAACGGCGAGAAGCTTCTTCCATTTCTTCCAGTCCTCGAGAGGTCCATGCTCAGGTAAGTATTTCACGTTACAACCATCTGGAGCTAGCCGACCAGCCGTCTTTAATTCCTCATACTCGGCGCGGTCGTACTTGGTAAAACCCCATTTTTTTGAAACATAAATTTTCTGACGGCCGGGGAACTTGAATTTCGCACGACGCAACGCTTCGACCACGGCAGCCCTGTGACGGTCGGACGAGCGTATGCTCATTATCGGTTGTCCGATGTGCACCCTTGCCACGGTACCCTGAGGTTTACCAAAAGCACCTCTCATTCCAGTTTGAAGCCTTCAAAAATAAATAAGAATGCAATCTCGTCGGCATACATACCACACGCGCATCTCCTCACCGAACGTTAACAACGGTCCAACAAGATTTACCTGTCGGCTCCGGCACACGATAACATTTTGTTGATCCGAATAACGTGGAACGGATGCAGTCTCATACGAATGTGGAACTGATCCTTTCCAGCATTCTTCACCATGTACTTGTTCGCACAGATACGTCCTGCTTCGAGAGCTTCGGAACTAAGCTGCTCATATTCATCCGACACCAAATGTACGCACAGCGGAAAGTCCTCGACCGAAGCTTTCTTCTTTCCAAGATCAAAGATACGTATCTTTGGATCGGGAACACCCCTACAGAATCTTGATTTCGGGTAAGGTTTGTTCTTGCAGTAACGATAACTGTAAAAGTACAATGGAAATTCTTCTTCACTTCTTGGTAACACGACACAGAGCTGCCAGTTGCACAGAGGTGTAAATGTCACACGTTGGCTCGCATACCAAAATTGATCGGGAGTCAATCTCAACGTAGTAGCATATACGAGATTTCAATACGATATCAGAACAACTTATAATTTACATTGGTATACGGCAAGAAACAAACAACATTTATTCTCTTTCTGAAAGGAACGAACAAATGCATATACTTAATACGTACCACCTAGCTGGTCGACGACCCATACTGGCTGCCTCGACGATAAACAGAAATACTAGACGAACGGTAAAGATAATGCTCGTTACGATCTTGTTTAAAAATGATAAATGATACTAAAAAAAGGATGAGCGGTATAACGTTGGATACATGACGATTAAAATGAATGCATACAAATACGTTACCTTGCGGCTGTTAACACGATGCTGTGGAAAGAGAAGAGAAGGAGAAGCGACATCTAGCGAGGTGACACCCAAAACAGAATGTGACGGTGACCAAACGATGGAGCCACGTGAGCCAACCTCCATGAGGCAAGTTCCTATTAAATGTACAGCTCAATATTGGCTTAAAAGCGGAGCGCTCCTTCCTTCTAAGCCAATATTGCCACAGATATGAAGCATATTCATGTGCAAAGTTATTCATCGGGTTTTATGATGATTTCTAATGAACGACTTATTAATCTTATTATTATGATTATTATGATAATAATAAGATTAATAAGTCGTTCATTGGAATTATCAAAATATATGGCATGAAAACAACCCTTAAGTTTGCTGTGTGTACAGCAGGTACGTACTGTGACGACTGTGACTGCGTGATACGTAATGCGTGCGCATGCGCGATGTGAGTCGATGATGGGCGTGACGCTGCTGCACTTCCGACAGTTCCGACAATCTCCGACATTACTGGACATTACCCGCTGAATTCGTGGAACGGGTATCGAAGGAATTGGAACAGAATCGACGTTAACCCAGCCACCATTGCTGACTACTGATCTGATGCATTTGGGTACATCTTTCTCATATAGCACGAGATTCGTATTGTTTTTAAAGGTGGTGAATGAAAAATGCCAGCCGGAAACGCAGGCCCTCCTGAACGAAGTGAGCAGATGTGGAAAGCGTTGAAAAGTCACATTACGAGAGACAGACAACGAAAGAAGCAAGGTGCATAAGTAAAAGCTGAAAGAAAGAAAGGAATTCCGTTTATATTTTCGTTTTATAACGCCAATGTTTTTCATTGGAAATGCTTAGAGCAAGAGGCCGACGCCGAGGAGGAACGTCAACGAAAGGAAAGAGAACGTCAGCAAAAGCAGGATGCAATGACTTTGGGCGAAACTAGGGAACAAATAGCTACTTTGGAGAGTGAGCTTGCACAGTTGAAAGATCAGAAACATCAATTGTTCTTGCAATTGAAAAAAGTATTGAACGAGGACGATAATAGAAGAAAACAATTAATTAAAGAAACAAGGTTTACCAAAAAACATTTCAGATTTCTGTTTACACATTATATACTCTGCAACCATCATCGTCATCGTCATAGTTGTTCTTATCGTTATTGGTACATGCAGCGTTGGCTCTGAAGTCTTAACGGCAGCTGCTGCTGGGTATTCAGGGGCAGGCCCTGGAGTATTTCATCCGCAAGTGTACCAAGTTCCATTGCCAAGAAGCAGTAGTCCCCTGTACAAAGTACAAACTGTGGGCGCGGCAACTCATACTTTGTTATCAACAGTAAGTGAATGAAACACTTGTGTACCTATAGACGAATCGACATTAATTTGTGGATTCATTTATTTATTTGTTCGTCCGTTCGTTCGGGCATTCATTCATTCCTTAGGGACCATTGAAGAGGACCCGTAGCCCTTCTCCACCATTAACAGGTCCATATCACACTAGTTACGGATACAAACCGACACCTTCCATACCGAGTTACAATCCTGCGCCATCCAGTAAGTAATATCAGTACAGTGGTTTCAATTTCAGTGTTAAAAAGATATATGAAGGCAAAGAGAAAAGAGAGTATTAAACGTTTGTGCCTGTGTATAGAATCTGAGGAAGCAGCTAGGAGATCTGGCGATTCCCGAGCTGTTCTCTGGAACAGTGAGTGAATAAATCTTTAATTTCCATGCTCTTTTTTTTTTTATTAAAAAAAAGTCATCTGTAATCGTATTCGCATCGCTCATCGTTAAATTGCATCGTTACATATCTTCTTTCAGAGAACAATCAATATTCCGCTTCGAACTTTTATTCGGCACCCACGGGTCAAAGCGTTTACAATTATTCGACGCCATCCTCGCAACCGTCTCGAGAGCCTGAGCCATCAGCTAAATCGGTGTATCTTTCAGGAAACAGAGCAACATTGTCGACGCATCAAACTGGTACAAATTCTCTCGTATATGTATACGCTTCACGTGTCAATCGGGCACGATCTGTCGAACAAAATCGTTATAATACATGTGTGATATCGTTATTTTGCGTCAGCGTACGTTACCAATTTGCATTCGTTGGACTATAAAGGCGCATACGCGGAGGATAAGTTTTGCTTGAGACCTAGCCATGTCACTGTTCACGGTGGAGCCATTCCGATTCAACAACCGCCGCAGGTAAAGTTTTAGTACTTAGTTTCTTTAACGAACGAAGTACAGTACGGTGAAAGAGAGAGAATCTAGCAGCATCATCGGTGTTCGTAGGGTGCGAAAACTGGAGGAATCACATCAGGATATCCAGTGAGAGCGCCGCAACCACCTCCAACTCCATATCCACCGCCGCCACCAGGCACTTACGTCAGCGCGTCCGGTGGTAATGTTCCCGGTCGATTACTGTACACTCAACCCGGAGCACGGTATCTCCAGAGAGAAGTTTAGGTTCAGTTCATTTATATCGAGCATGGTGTTTGATCTACGATCACCGTCGCATTCGTACAAACGATATTGACAAATCTTGTTTCATACGTACAGTCAACAAGATTATAAAAAGAGAAATGTATTTTATATGATATCATTGTCCTCCGTTAGTGTACCGGTTGTCATCGTGAACGCCTGTACAACAACTTACGGATACACGTTAGGCGCATGTAGACACACGCGTCAATGTCAACAGTAATTTATCACTCATCATATATACA